CCGCCCCCCGCCCTCCCGCCGCTCTCCCTCGCTCGCTCGCTCTCTCGAATGTTTTCCTTCCTGGAAGAGAGAAACTGAAAGGCAGAACTGAGAAAGCTCTCTGCTCATTGATCTTGAGAGTTTCAGTGCAGAAACTGACGTGAATTCCCAGCACTGAGCTCTGCCTCTTAAAGGAGCCACCAGGAAATAAAAGCTCGGGTTACAGCCCGGCATCGGGGAAATAAAAGCCGGTCGGGGGGAGGGGCGGCGACGGGGGTGCGGGCGGAGGAAACCCGGGGGGCGAGCCGGACCGCGCGAGGCCGGGCTGCTCGGGAGGCGGGCGGCGCAACCCACCCGCCGCAGCGCGGCCCCCGCGCGGACGCCCGCCCTCGCCGCCCCTCTGCCAGCCGCGCGGTCGGGCTTCCTCGGCTGAGCCAAACAATTGCCTCGCTCAAGGAAGACACGGTTAAAAAACGTTACACTGGGGCCCAGGAAACCACGAAACAGGTTTATTAAACCTCCCACCTTCCCCAGCTCCGTCTCTTAGATACACTGATAGGCACGAGGTTTGTTTGTTCCCCCCCCCCAAGCGCAGACGCAACGAAAATAATTATATATGAAGGGACATTCCGGTAAGGACGCGGAATCCAAAGGAGGAAATAAAACAATAGCCTTTGTTCTGCTTCTCGACCGCTGCCTCTTTAAGAGAATCCACCAGGAAATGAGAGATCGGATTACAGCCTGCACACCGGGAAATGTAGGGAGAGCGAGCGCCGGAGCGCGACGCCGGAGACAAAGCCCCGGCGGCCGCGCCGCAGACGCCGGAGGGCGGCCGGGTGGGGGGATTCCCCGCCAAGGTGGGCGCCCCGAAAAGAGGAGGCGCCGCGCGCGCTGGGTTGGGGTTGCGGCCGCCGCAGGCGCTTCCCTAACGGAGCACGCGTTCTGGGGAAGGGAAGGCTGCTGGGCAGTTATCAAAGGCAGTTGAGTTCCTTTTCCTGACACCCCCCCCCCTTTCCTCTCGTTTCGAAATCCGCTGTCCATTTAAAGAAATAGCGGTCGCAACCAACCGAAATAGGTGACTCGCCTGCAAAGTTGACGGGACGTGTTCCTGACGGTAATAGCCCTCCCCAGGACCACTGCTCTGAAACTGTCATCGGCGCCCTTGGAGGTCCCTGGGATCCTGCCAGGGGAGCAATCAATGGTTGAAAAGACAGTGAGGGGAAGTTAAGTCGGTGGGGCTGAGGGGTTCCAGCCTAGGGTACAGGTGGCCTGATTATTATTTTTATTATTATTATTATTTATAGTCTTTGTAAATGCTCTGAAGTGCCCACTTCAGAAGACTTAGAAAATATTATGTTTAAATTGTAAACCATGCTATCACATACAAATGGGTTTAATGTGTGGATGTGTGTCATGTTACAAATATATAACTACATATGTGTAAATATAGTGTGTGTACACGTATACGAATAGACCAGGACAGATTTCCCAGATCTCCTCATCCTACAGATTTTTCCCACTCTGCCGTTCTTCAGTTCTCCAAGAGTTCAAACTTTTTCACACGTTCATCAGAACACTCTGAACTAGAATTTATTAAAGGGGTTGGGGTGCAGTGGAGCCCTGTTGCTGGGAAGGTGGGACTAATGGCTGTTTGTAAGTTTCCAGGGACCTCAGCAGTTTTTATCACCTAGAAGTCCTAGCCTCCCCAAGAGCTCACCGTCCACACCTATTCCTCTTTAGACCACATGCTGCCCCCGCCTCTTGCAACAGTGATCTATCTGCCTTTCATCCCTCAACTGATGTTGCAGACATTGGTTCTGATGTCCCAGTGCTGGGTTAAATGCTATAAACCTCAGTATCACTTATCTATGATAGTTGGCAACTTGCTCTCAGCATCTGTAAAATGGGGGTGGGGAATAGTACCTACCTCATAAGATTCTTGTATTAAATGAGCAAATATATAATATGTACAAAGTACTCAATTACCTGAGTGCTTACTACATATTAAATGTGCTCAATGTTAGCTACAATTTTTTGTTATTGACAAAAAATGTAAGGTGTAATCCTAATAAATGTAATACATATCTAATAATGAAAGGAAAGTAACTTTTTTGGGGGGGGCAATAACATTTCACTTAGTTAAACCCCAATTCAAAGTAAGTGTTCTATTATCAACACTGATTGCAGGGCTGGCAGGGTGGTTCAGTTGGTTAGAGCGTGTGCTCTTAACAACAAGGTTGCTGGTTCGACTCCCGCATGGGATGGTATGCTGTGACCCCCACCACCACCACCCCCGCAACTAGACTGAAAGCAGCGACTAGACTTGGAGCTGAACTTGCGTCCTCCACAACTAAGATTGAAGGACAACTTGACTTGGAGCTGATGGGTCCTAGAAAAACACAGTGTTTCCCTTCCCCAATTCCCCAACACTGTTCCCTTCCCCAATTCCCCAATAAAATATTGTTAAAAAATAAAAAACTAATTGCAAATGTTGACCTGTTAACACTAATCTGTATTGAGGTTTTACATATTTCACTTTTGAAAATATCTTTTCACCCAGATAGGTATTGCCAAATATATCAGTCCACGAGCATATGTTTTTTCTTGAGCATATTCATTGCTTAGAAGGCATTTATACAATTCTATTAGAATTCTCTAAGTTCTCTTGATATTTCCCCTTTAGCATGCCATTATATTGCACATAATCGCTTCCAGTTGAAGGTTAGATGGAAGCACCTCAATTGCACAGTTAAGTGGATTTTAAATATGGAATTTTCCTTTTCACTTATATCAAAATCCAAAAACCACTGTTGGAACAGTAGTTTGAGTTCAGAAAAAATAAATGCTGCAAATTTGTGTTGGAATGGAGATCTTGTTTCAACTTTTGACAACATGGAAAGCGTATTAAGCAGCTTGATATTATTTGTGATTCATACAATGTTGTGTCAAGATGATTTAACTACAGTATAAACTTCACATATAGTTCTATTTTGCCTTATAGTTTTAGGTTGAATTCATGAAAAAAAAACATCAATCTGTAGCAAAAACTTATTTCCAAAGCCATTCAGTTTTCAAAAATGGTGGTTGAGGGCTTTTCATTCATTTATACCCATTTGTCAGATGTGTCTCTTCCTTGTTTTGGGACTTCTTTTAGGTAAATTGGGTATCTTTTTCATATTTTGTTTAAATTCCTATATTGTCTTTCTAGCTTTTCTTCTTTATGTTAAATATTGTGGCTGCTCTCAAAATTACAATTTACATCTTTAATGATCACAATCTGTCTTCAAATAATATTTCTTTTATGACAATATAAGACATTTACAACATAAATTCATTTGTTCCTCTCTCATCCTTTATGATACTGTTTTGTATTTTATTTCTGCATATGTTCTAAAACCTAACATACATTGTAGGGTTTTTTTATTTTTAAGAAATTGTGAATACATGTATATAATGAAGGCACTAAAATATATGTTAATTTGCCCAGATATTTGTCCTCTGGTACTTTTTTATTCCTTCTTGTAGGTCATATATTATTTCTCTGACCTCAAGAATTTTATTTATTTTTTTTTTTTTTAGCTGAGCCATCCTGCTGCCTGTTGGCAGCCAGCTCAGCGGCAGCTCAGCTTGGGCCGGGCATCAAACCACTGTTGCTCATAGCTCACACTCTTGAGTGAGCTCTTAACCAACTGATCCACTCAGCCGGCCTGGCCTCAAGAACTTTTTACAGGGGTGGCTGGTTAGCTTAGTTGGTTAGAGCACAGTGCTCATAACACCAAGATTGCCGGTTCAATCCCCACATGGGCCACTGAGCTGTGCCCTCCACAACTAGATTGAAACAACTACTTGACTTGGAGCTGATGGGTCCTGGAAAAACACACTATTCACCAATTAAATATAATAATAAATAATAATAATTAAAAAAAACTTTTTACAACATTTCTTGTAGTGCGGTTGGAGATGAAGTCTCTTAGCTTTCGTCTGTATGAGGATGCTTTTATTTCACATTCATTTTTTTAAGATTTTTATTGGGGAATTGGGGGGATGGGAACAGTGCTGGAGAATTGGGGGAAGGGGAACAGACAAGTTGCTGTGGTTTTGTTCTTCAGTCTAGTTCTGGAGGACGTTGCTTCACTGGCCCAAGTTGGCACCATCATTGCACTCTTTCTGGGTGAGGCAGATCAGTTGCCGGCTTCTGGACGGCTGCTCACTGCAGCTGCTGGCCGCTCACGCTGGCTGCTGGCTACACACGGTAGCCCATGGCAACCCACTGCCACAGGGGCTGCAGCCTACGCCGTTGCCGGCGACTCACGGCAGCCCAGCTCCAGGTTGAGCTGTTGTTCAGCATCTTAGCTGCAGAGGGCAGTGTCACTGGCCCTCATATGTGGGATCCAAACCGGGGCCCTCTGGCATCCCAAGCCAGTTCTTAACCATCGCGCCACTCGGCCGGCCCTCACATTCATTTTTAAAGGATAATTTTCACTGTATAGAAAACTTTAGGTTGACAGGTTTTTCCCCCCTTTGACACTTTAAATATATCATTCTATTTCTGTCTCCATTATTTTTTATTAAAAGTCACTTGTAGTTCATATTTTAGCTCCCTGTGTGTAGTGTATTTTTTCCTCTGGATGCTTTTAAGATCTGTTCTCTAAAACTGGTTTTCAGAATTTTGACTAGATGTGCTTTTCTTTCTGTATATTCTGCTTGATGTTGGTGGCAATTCTTGGACCTGTAAGTTGATATCTTTCATTAGTTTTGGAAAATTTTCATCATTATCTCTTTGAATATTGTTTCTGCCCATTCTCTCTCTCCCCTCCTTTTATTACTCCAATAATTCAATTGTTAGACCATATGACATTACTCTGTAGGTCTCAAATACTGTTTTTTAAATAATTTTTTCTCTTTGTCTTT